AATTAAAATTGTTAGAAATTTTCATTACAAGCCGAGATAAAAAATAGAATTTTACCTCACAATTTCTAACTATTTTAATTTGTTTTAAAATTTTTTAAATATCATTTAATAAACTAACTCATCTAACTAAAAAAAAAACTCAGATCGTTTCTAAAAGATGTTAGTTCAGTTTTGTTTCTTACTGTAACTTAAATTTCCTTCATGTTAAAACTGTATATATTACTTTAATTGTTAACTCAGATCCAAGTAAAGAAAGTTGGTCGATTTTAACTGTTTTAACTGAACCCAAGTGCAATATGCCTCCTTCTGGCCACTCGAGAATTATTGCATAAAGTCGATTATCTCCTGCTGGATAAATTTGCTTTATGCCATGTGTATACCAAACACTGTCTGTGAAAGTGTCATTCTGACTTGTCCAAGGTTTGGTATTGTAAATAGCTTCGCCATTCATTTTCAACCAATCACCTATTATTTCAAATATAGATTTATGAATGATTGATTCGAGAGCATTTTATATGTTAAATCGATAGACATACCCATTTGACGCAACCTTTCTTCAAATATTGGAACAATGATACCATCTTTCGTTGGCCCAACATTCATTAATAAATTTCCTCCACAGCTTACAGTAACTACGAGCTCCTTTACCAATTCTCGTAAAGTGAAGTATTCTGATAAATGAGCATTTCTTCGAAATCCCCAAGATTTCCTGTCGATCGTCATACAGTTTTCCCACTTGTGGGGTAGAAGCACTCCTGAAAATTGAAGATTGAAGATGAATAAACTAAGTAAGCGTATAATCCCAGATTTAAAAAATCTTGGCTGCATTTGAAGTAAAAGATACGTATAATATCTTGGATTTTAAGAATGTTGAGCGGATCTTAGTCGAAGTGCAATTTACCAGGATTATATCGATCAGAACACGTGTAAAAATCGCCATGATGACACGGTATGTTCTGACCCCATCTATCATTTACAACAACAGTATTTTTCACAGGGCTTTCATTATACAACCAAGCTAAAAATTCCTTTGACTGCCAATAAGTATCTGATGCTTCCCAATCTCCATCTGACCATATAATCTCTGGCTCGTATTTCTCTACTAATTCTTGCAATTCAGGCAATATCTTTTGTTTAACAAACACTTGTGTCGTGAATTTGTTGTTTTTGTCGTATAAATAAAGGGGATTGTACCATTCGTACATGGAATGATACAGACCAAATTTCAAACTCGTCGATTCCTTTATTGCTGCGGCCAATTCACCTAACAACAAAAATATATAATAAATTCCAGATCATAGTAATTGAAGAGACAAAAATGTATAGCTTGATTGATTCTATCCACAATTTATGTTAATAAAAATTCATGAAGTTTCAAATTCTTGAGTAATGAATTTTAATCACTCCACTCGTATCTTTTTTCTCTGATACTAATGCATTAAAAATTCTGAAAAGATGTGCTACTATACAAGTAGTGTATGTAGAAATTCTTTCAATTTTTTATACTGCAAACTGGAAATAATAAGTAAATAGGAAAAAATTCTCAAAGCATTACTATCGGTCTGAAAACAATTAGAGATGTTACCTATCAGATCTTTCCTTGGGCCCACGTCCATAGAATTCCAACTAAATGAATATTTAGAAGGCCATAATGTATATCCTTCGTGATGTTTGCTTGTTAATACTACGTATTTTGCACCGGAAGCTTGAAACAATTCGCTCCATTGTGTGGCATTAAAAAATTCAGCTGTGAACTCATGAGCAAAGTCCTGGTACGTAAAATTGGGTGGATACCTTTGCTTCATAAAGTCACGGTATTTGGTACTGGTATTTTCTTCTGGAATAAGAAATAATAAATATGAAAGTTACATGACAATCAGTTAAGGTGGAAGAAAGACCTACCTCGCCAATTATTCCAAAACCATTCAGATCCAAAACTGGGAACACTGAAAACGCCCCAATGAATAAAAATGCCAAATTTTGCATCATCGTACCATTCTGGAAGGAGGCGGCTATCTAAACTGTCCCATGTTGGATAATATTCATTTGTCTCGGTTTCCGATGGCCAAGATATTTCACTATTCTCCTCGGCTACAAATACATATTGATTCTTCTGTGCTGTACATAGTATTAACAACGCTAATACGATGTAAATCTGAAAGCTCATGGTTCTGCCCTACGAATTCTGAAAATGAATTTATATAGAATACGACCACTCAAGTATTTATACTTTTTTCATCGATAAATTAAAAATTATATGAAGATCAATTTTGACTTCGCCCCATATTTCCGATAAGATTAAATAGATAATGAGTACATACTTATTGGTACAACATTTCAAAACATTTATTTCGCTTTTTGTTCCTTATTTTGCTATCAGGTGGAAAATTAGAATCTTATCAAAAATGAAGGTCACGATCAATTAGTATTACGTAAAAGACATTTTATGATAAGCTGCATAAATTTAAAGATATACATATAATAAAACATTATAATATATTAGGTTGAAAATTAGAATAATTTTCTAGAAGTAAAGGTGACGATCAACTAACATTACGTAATGAATATTTTACGATGAGCTATATGAATTTAGAAATTATACATATACATGTAATAAAACATATTTGAAACAAAAGATAAAAATGTTATTGCTGATTATTTCGAATTATTTGTTGGTCTTGTCAATACTCTGCCGAATTACGTTATATATGTATACGTCAAATCTGTGATTTCGGTAAATTTGCTCTTTGTTCCTAATGACACATAATTCATGACGTTTAAATTTTGTATGTGGCTATTTTTCGACATCGCAAATAAATCGTTGTAACTTGAATTTATTCGCTGAATCTAACGATAATCTCGTGAGGTATAGTTCAAACTCAGAGACAAAATTCAAAATTAAACAGTGTTTACAAACTAAATTTGAAGCCGGGGCAAGCCGGGGTGTGAACGTATTCCGATTCTTGCTATTGACCTCACATCAAGAATCCGCAAAATCTAATCATGTCGACAACTTGGGTACCGATGGAATCGAATCCGGATGTAAGACTTATTCTTTCGAATATAATCTAATAAGAATTAAACATAAATATACTGTTTTATGTAAACTAATGCCATTTCTTTGTTTTAGGTTATGACAAAGGCAAACTATCATGAATTGCATTATTAATACGTATTGACATTCAATTTTATGATTCACCGTTTTATAAGTATTTTTTACAATTTTAAACATTATTTTATATAAAAATAATTGCGGCGATTTAACCGTTAGACTGCCGGAAATATTGGCTTAAGAATTGATGAGTACTTTACATAGCATATATCCTTGATATAATCACATTATATGTGACTTTTTAAAGACATTTTAATCTAACTGATGATGGCAATCTAAATGTTGATAATATTGTAATAACAAAATGAACTTTGCAGTTTTTGCACAAGTTGGGTGTAACCAAAGACTGGTCTATCGTTGACGTTTATGGATTAGAGCCAGACCTATTGGCACTTGTGCCAAAACCAGTTTGCGCTGTCATTTTATTATATCCGTTATCTAAAAAGGTTCTACGATTAAAAATTACATTATTGGATTTATAAATATAATCATATTATGAATGTGAAATGTTCAATACTTTGTATATATTTCTAGGGTACTCCTGTCGTAGAAGATGAAGAACAAGGTGATAAAGATAAGGATGCTACATGTAGTGATCCAGCAGTTTTTCATATGAAACAATATATACATAATGCCTGTGGTACAATCGCTTTGATTCACAGTGTTGCAAACAGCTTAGAGACGTAAGTGTTTAGTGAAAAGGGCAAGGGCTGTAATACTTGTTTGAAAATTAATATGCATTTCATTTACTTTTGCAGTATAAAGCTTCAGGATGGTTTTCTAAAAACATTTTTAGACAAAGCACAAGATTTGTCGCATGAGGGACGTGGAAAGCTGTTAGTGGAATCAGAAGATATTAGCACTACCCACAAAGATGTAGCGCAAGAGGGACAGACAGAGGTATGACTCTTACTTCCTCTGTGTTTATAGATATACAGGAACCAGTTGTATTTCGTCTAAAGTAACAGTTTTTATAAAAAATGTTTCAAATGAAAGTTGTATGATATGAAGGGGTACATAATTCAACGTGATTAGTTTTTCCTTTCTTTTATTAGATTTTGTATAATTGATATCGTTCATAGGTGCCGGGTGAAGAAGTAGTAATCATCCATCACTTTGTGGCGCTTGTACACAAGAATGGAGTTTTATATGAATTAGGTAAATCCTTTTATTGTTACTAGTTAGTAATACTATATAATAGTTTCAAGACTTTTGCATGTGTCAGTCATGAATGTATTTCTTCTATTTTTTATTCTAAGTACTCATTAATTGTATAAATACTCATTAATTGATGAAATATGTTCCTAATATAGTTAATTATTATTACACAAAATTTCAAAACCTTGTTACTATTTTTTGCTTTAGTTTTCTTTCAGTTTAATGTATCAGTGGTTCACAAAAGTATTTGAACATTTCTTAAAACGGAATAAGTTTCTTAATATTGAACCGTAATATCAAAACGGATTAAAATCATTGTCTCAAGCTGTATAACAAGATCTACCTCTAAAAATCTGTCCAGAACTTTTGTACTGACCTAATATACCTTTCATCATTTTCCTCCAGCTTTTCCTTTCCTACATCCTTTTTTCCTCCTCCTTCATTATCTTTCATATCCCTTGGTCTGCACCTATCCCCTCCATCCTTGCTTTCTATTTTCCAAAAATTCTTTTCCCTCCAATTTCCACGCCTTTCCTTTACCTCCGCTAAAAACCCACTTTTCGCCTACTCTCCTCCACTTTTATTGTTACTATTTGCCGTAAACAGTATTAAAATGAAAGCTATTTAATTACTATGTATTGAAATTTTATAGACGGACGAAAATCTGGTCCTATCAGTCATGGTCCAACCAGTCCCGAAACGCTGTTAGAAGACGCAGCGCGCGTCTGCAAGGAATTCATATCTCGCGATCCAGAAGAAGTATGCTTCACCGTTCTTGCGCTCGCTAATAGCGACGCGTCATCACTATAACTCGACATACACATTTAAAACGATTGTTAAAATAATTTATTTTGTACTTTGTATATGTACATTTGCTACATTTTGCATTGCGTTTATTAACATTTATTAATTACTGCTGCTGTAATGCAGTTATTTACGAAATAAGTATTTATCAAAGAATACGTGTTAAAATATGCTCCACATCATAAATAACAAGAGTATTCGAATAAAGATTCGTAAATCGTAAGTACATGATAATTTTGTAACATTATTGTACGTTTTTTAAAAACTTTTACCCAACATGTCTCGTTGGTTGATGTTTATTTTTGTACTGCTTTTTTACAAACGAATATTATTAGTGGAATTAATACAATAATTTTTTTTTAATTTTATAATCTTTAAATTGTTACAATTGTTTTCCTATCAACAATTCCGTATCGAGAATGATATTTACGATAATCGATGTGTAAACATATTTATCTAGGCGCTCTTTTCACTAAAAGCAATCAGATATTTACTCCTTACACAATAGTGTATTATCGGACGTCGCAAAACCTGTCGGTCACTGACCAGAACTCGGCGAAAGGGTTCAGTTATTTTAGATCCTCTTTCGAGTTCGAGTATCTTAGCACCACTCTCTAAATAGTAGCACGAAACACATAAAATAAAATAAAAACGTTCGCCTCAGTGACCTGCTATTTACAATAAATCGCTATTCTTTATGTAACACGAGAGGATTCGAATTTCAAAGTTCAATCCGTTTCAAGTGAAGAGTAAGAATGTGGATAACACGAGTATGCGTCGAGTGCATTAGTCATTGTTTGCTATTAGTCCCTTTCAAGAAAAAATTTTCCACGAGAGAAACGCGGCAGCCTGACTTTCGTCTTCATCGTTAGATCAGAAAATTTTCCACGCGATGGTCGAGAGCCGTCTAGATTTTCCATGGGAACGCGATAACGAATTTCTTTTACACGAAGGATGTGTTAGTGGTTTCCTTTCAATCGGGTAATTCCTCAGCTAGATTACATTACGTAATGTTTCAATTGCGTACGAGATTTGCGTGTTACATAGTAATTGTATCAAAGGATGCCGTTCAGCAATCAAAAGACAGATGAATTTAAGTTTCTTATATTTTTTTAAAAAGTAACAATTAAACTTAATCCTTTTCAAATCGACCATCAATTATTCACTTATAATTAAGGATGTATTGGCTATACACTCAATCCCAAAAGTTTATGTATCTTAGAAAAACGCATTTCCTATAATTAAAAAGAAATCAGACATCGGAAGACTAATGCTAATAATAAATAGCTACGTGCTAAAAAGTATA